CTGCCTGGTACCTTTCTGTCTCTCCGTTCCGTTACGCCTCCTGATTCACAACGTATCGGTGAATGTAGCTTCGTACACCATGCATCCTGGCTGATTTATGCACCACGCTTCCTCCGTCCGCGGCGATCCACGATTTCTCTGATTTTCTTGCGCCTTGTTTCCACACACTACTCATTAGTAGTGCACCACTCCTGGAACCGTTTTGTTTCACTCGAAGCAGAAGCTCATAGCAATCTTTAGTTAGTGAAGCAGTTAATGCGAAGAGTGGCAACTTAGGTCACTCGTAGCTCATTCAACTTGGGTTTTTATCGCTATACAGTTGACTCTCAATACGCAAGGCGATCTTCAATTAGCCTTCTCCAACCTCCTAGTATCGAAAACCGGATTTAATTGACAGTGTTGGAGTGTAGCAAGGTACATGGACTCACGAACTTCACTTTGTCGCCACAGAAAACTGATTTCTACTCTACGGTCGTTCCGGTTGTTGTTCTCAACTACATATTACACTAAAAAGATGTCCTTTATTTGGACTGTACGACAACGTGCTCATCAGTTACCGTTTCTACCTCTTGCATTCACGCGACTTCATCACATGCCAATTATTTGCTTGCTAACAATCCGTTACCCGAATCATCTGGTTGCGCTTTCGGTTGCGCCGCCAACCATAGAGTTCAAATAATGGCACTCCTTCGTCCCCGATGCTCGTTCCATGTGGCGTGCTTCAACGTTCGGACACTCATGCAGCTTAGACAGCAAGCCGGTCTAGCGCGCATCCTAGGGTCCCTCAATATTGACGTCTGCTGCCTTCCAGCAACTCGATTGCAGGATCCCAGTACTATGCTTACATTGACATCCCCCACTGACCACGAAGCTAGATATCACATGCGTCTTTCTGGAGATCCAGTACCAGCCTCATCGAGTTTAGTTGGTGTAGATATAACACTAAGTGGCAAGGCCGAGGCGGCACTACTGGACTGGTTCCCGATTAAAAGCCGACTGTATGTAGTTCGGCTTCGAGGTTCATGTCGAATCAACAAGCACTGCGAGGAGGAACGCGACTTGTTTTGGGTCTCCTCGTACACTCCAACTGACTGCAGTATTGGCTCAGTCAAGGACGATTTCTATTGGGATCTACATCAGCTCTTGACTAATGCTAAAAGTCGGATGTCATTTTCCTTGCTAGGGATTTTAATGCACGGGTTGGCCGCCTGTTACCATTCAAACGCCACCTTGGTGGTCACCATGCGCCCGATGAGAACCGCTCTGATAACGGAGAGAGGCTTCTCACATTTTGCGAAGACAAACATCTATTTCTCTCGAGCACTAACTTCAGGTGTACGAAGAAGCGTTCCGCAATGTGGCGTCCCCCTTCGCGAACACAGCCGTGGTCTCAAATTGATCATATTGCAAATAGCTTCAGATGACGTAGCAGCGTACTGGACTGCAGGTCGTTTTGGTCCGCCTCCGTTGACTCGGATCACGCGCTGGTCTGCGCGAAAATCTGCATGTGCTTTGGGAGTCCCGAAACACGAAGCACCGCAAGATTGATGTAAACAGATTAACTGATTCCTCTGTCCAAGCGGCTTATCAGTCTTCATTGGTATATGCACTCAGTTGCAATCCACCGCAAGGCGTAGAGCAACACTGGACTTGTATACAGAAAGCGACAGCCATTTCCGGACAGTCAAGCTGCGGCTTAACTCGACGCCTCTTGAAGGCTTGGATCTCTGCCCGCTTTCTGGTGCTGTTCGACCGCCGCGAAGGTATACCGGCGGAATCAGATTGCCACGAGCGACGCCGTTCTGCCAACCGGCTGCTCAAGCAAAGCTTACGTAAGGATCGCGAGACATGGTGGTTTGAGCGTGCTTTAGAGATGGAGACCGCTGCCCTCTCTGGCAACACTCACAAGCTTTTCCAACACATTCGGTCCACTGGCCTCGGGAAACTTGGTGTCAGTGAGGTTATTTGCAAGGTGGATGAGTCTCCGATCACCAACCAACAGTGGCGTATGGTCCGCTGGACCGAATACTTTCGCAATTCAACTGGCCTCCATCCTTCATGAGTATATGCAGCACATCTTGTTGTCCACTCTGGCTCGTCCCACTGAATCCAGCCAGCGAAGCGGAAGTCTGCCTCGAGATTCGACGCTTGAAGCGCTTCAAGGCTGCCGACTAGACGGACTTACTCTGGCGCTATTCAAGTACTGCGGTGTGGCGATCATTAACCAGCTGACCGCGCTGTTCGCAAAAATCTGGCATAAAGAGAAAGTGCCTTCCTCTTGGGGCGAAACAGTTATTGTCCCGATTTTCAAGAAAGGCGCACGCACTTCATGTGTAATTCTTCACAGGATTAGTCTTATTTCGGTTACCTCCAGGCTATTGGTATCCATTCTGCTCCGTAGTCCATACCCAATACGTGAATCCTCATACCTTGAAAAGCAAGCTGGTTTCCGTCCCGGCCGTGGCTGAACAAATCAAGTCTTCACACTCCGCCAACTCCTCGAACATCGCCATATTCATCGCAGGCCCGCTATCGTTACATTCCTAGACATACGTGCTGTTTTCGACTCCGTTGATTGACCTTTATGGCGTTAGTGGTTGAAGAACGGGGTGCCAGAGATGTATACGCCACCTTACGAGCACTTTACCTTCATACCTCTGGCAGAGTGAGGGTCTACTGCAAGCTTTTCTCGCCATTCGCTGTCAATACCGGTGTGCGACAGAGGCTCCCCTATGTCCCCATTCCTTTTGAACTTCGCAGTCGATGACGTTCTGTCCAGTGCTCTAGAAGATTTCCAACATTTTGGCCTAGAGCTTCTACCGGGTGAGCGCGCGACCGACTTAGATTAGGCTGATGATTTCGCCTTACTTGGTGACGATCCTCAGGGTATGCAACTCATTCTGCATCATTTTCTGGTTGAAGCATAATGGGATGAGCTTCGCCCCATCGAAGTGTAAACTGCTGCTCCAGAATTAGCTTACACCTGTTCCCCTGCTCACTTGAACAAGTAGATACTTTCGTCTACCTTGGTAACTGTGTTCCTGCTGACGGCACTATAAACAAGGAGGTTTCTCTTCTCATCGCTAAAGCCCGATCAGCATTTGCCAATCTGAGGCACTTGTGGCGTCGTCGCGATGTCTTATTCTCACTAAAGGGCTGCGTTTACAGTGCATCTGTCTGTTCATTGTTGTTGTATGGGAGCGAGTCCTGTCCAATTCGCGTGGAAGACATGCGTCGTCTTTCTGCCCTCGATAACGGTTACCTAAAAAGGATTGCTCATGTTTTCTGGCAACATCGAGTTAACAGCAGTGACGTTCGACGTCGCATCTTGGGGAATGCAAGTATTCCCTTCAACAATCTGGTTTTGTTGCGCCAGTTGAGATGGCTCGGTCACATCCTACGCATGGCACTGAGCGTTTACCATGTCGCACTCTATTCGCTCTGCAAGGACCTGGCTGGAGGCGATCTTGTGGTGGTCAACCTTCCACTTGGCGACAACACATAATATCGCTGACGTCGCGTCTAGCCGCTGTTGGATCCGTACAGCTTCCAGGATGGGGACCCAAAGATGAGGAGCACCAATAGATTAACACGCTTGAAGACATGGCCCGCAACCGGAATCAGTGGAAGAATTGTGTACAGTATTGTATTGATTCACATGCTTAATACTTCAACCGTTGAAAATGACAAAAAAGAGCAAAATCGGCGTATGAAAAGCAAACTAAACGTGTTTTGTTCTACTTTTTCTCCAGATGTTCTTTTCTTCCTGCGGCATCATATCTGAACTGTGTTTCTCCCCTTCAAGTACTATGCCTCGATGATTATGACGCAATGATTTCCCCTTTTTCCGCTAATCTCCATGGTTTTTGTTGGTTCAATGTTTAGTTGCTAGACTGTTTAGGTTATTACTACTACTAGTTATTTACCATTATGCAGATTCTTAACAGTGGTCAACTAAGGTGAAACGACAATCCTCGATGCATTATACCTGTTTGCATTGCTTCCAAACCACCTACGCGCATTGCAATGTCGTTTCTCAAGTGTCCTCGGCAGAGGATAAATTAGTCGAATGTTTACACTGTCAAGCGCTTAAACAGCATTGCCCATACAAAAAACCCACCACTATCATCTTCCTTGACTTTAAGGCCCTGGTAGTATGTGAATCATGGCTGTTCACGGCATTACCTTTCTTTTAGATACGTTAAATCTGTTAGTTCGTATTCTTAAACCCTTGCGTCTTGAATTTGGAGATCAAGTGAATGGTATCGAGTTCCCTTCGGCAAGAATTCTTCTTTCCGTTTCACTTCACTTATGATCGAAATGTTCATGTGTGTTCCTTTTCTGTCTGACAACTTCCGAGTGGAATTTCTGCCAGTTGGCCGGTTGAGAAGCACGGACTACTCTAGCTCTATCACGCTACCGGGATTAAACCCATTACTTGTTCAGTTGTTGGCCAAGTTATGGGATAGCGTTACGCATTTCGGCATCTACTTCGCATTTTCAATCCCAAGTGTGTTACTGTGAACTTGTTCTCGCAACCATCTGCAACACACTTAAGTTACTGAATAGACTCACTCGTCCAACAAATCTGCTCTTTGTTAGCCAGGTCACCTGAAGGGCCTCACGGGACATTTCACTGTCTCCACCTTTGAATTCAGCAAGGTGTCAGTTCATCACTCCGAGATATAGTGTACAACGCTTCTATACGGCACGTGTTACTCCGAGAAACGGAAAATTGTCCACTACTTTCTGATATGCTGAAGAGATTGACCAGATTTCACCGCTTGCGTTTCGAAGCTTCAGTTTTTTGTTTTTGTCAGTCAGCGAGTACTGCTGAAATCCATCGCTTGATTTTTGCTCTATTTTCAGGTCGACCTGTATTGCTCGCGCCGTCCAGGTCATCATTTTTTCATGATCTCCGGCCAACTATGTCCGTGTGTGTGTGTTGTTTACGTTCACTTCACCTGGATGGACGATGTCATAAGTGACCGACTTATCGTATGACATCTGGTCACGAACTGACTGACAGACAGGAGTACTACCGTTTTCTCGGACGTATGCCACCGGGTCGACTATATCAGGGATTGTTCACCTTATTCCACTTACTTATACCTCAGCGTCAGTGAGGCGCTTACCTGGCCTCGCCCCTTTATGTTATTACTTTCATCGACTGGTTGCATCCATCTTGTCCTAACTACCTTTTTCCGGCATTTTGTTCGTGTGTGTATTTTTCTATACCTCCATCATCTTTCGTCCTATCACTACCCCTACCTACTTTTAGCACTATTAATTACTAAGCTATACTATTTATTGAATTAAAGTCTTTACTTTAATCCATGACACCATTGTTTTAGTTCTATCACTGTTATTGCTCACTTCATTTTTCCTTCGACCGTTTTGCTTTACTGTTGTGATCTGTTGTTGTGGTAACTACATGTGTCAAAGCTACTGTATTGGATGCATTTCACCACTTGGAGCTGGATTAATGTTGCTTCCTAGATTGAGCTGCAGATGACATACCAACCAACGCTTTATAAGCACACACAATACCCAGTTACTTCCTGTTTTGCGGTGTACCGTTGATTTACTGTCAAGTTTGTCATTTTATCCTTTGATTGCACATGCATGAACATCCACAGCGTCAATGTTATGTGGTGCTAAGTGTTTTATTGGTCTAGTCGGGCAATCATTGGACCCACCGAATGGTGTAGAGACTCATCTCCATCTGACTCTCCTCTTGTAGCTCGGACGAATATGACAATCCAGTCAACCTCTATGTTGGTTACTTCCATACCGCTTCTGGATGCCCCATTTTTATGCCGCTTAGGAATCATCTGCTTACTTATTGATTCTCCACTAGCCTAACTTGAACGTCTGACATCTCGTTTGGAAAACCCTATTATTACATTTTAGTCTACCGCAGTGTTTCTGACCTACTAGTGAGCAGTAGTGTTTGTTCATTGTTGTACGCTGGTTCCTCTCTTTCCTTCTTTGAGACTGGTTGCATTTCCACACTACAATCTTCTCTTTTTACACCCTGGGTTTACAGGTCTATCAACCTTACCAACGGATGTCATCCAATCTCTCCTCCCGAATTTGTCATCGTTACCTGCTCAGTCGGTTACCACTCCACTTGACGGTAAGACTTCCTTTTCAGGATTAGTAGAAGTATACTGTCGCATACTTTGAGCCATCACTCTTTCCTTACTTCAGTCCTATTGCCATTGTCCTCTCAGTAGAAATGTTACGACTCGTACCTCATACTTGGATTAAACCATGCTCCCATTTAACCATCAGCCGCTTCAATGCGATGATCATCCATATCATATGCAGTTGGCGACTCTATCGCTAAGACCCAGGTAGATCCACGTATACCTATGTACCATTTGCCAGCCGAGCGATCTTGTATCACATTTCAATTAGTCTCCAACGCACTCAAATTATTCCTTATTACCTTTAGCCTTTGTCTTGATTTTTGAGGCTGTCTGATCGGGTCAGCTCGCATTAAATCCCGTGCTCATCCGAATGCCATATTATTCATTCATAAGTGATGGTCAACGAAGTTCAATCGCCCTCTGGTCATCGGCTTGTTGCTGGACAACATTAACCCGGAGCCTAGCCATATCCCATGCGTATCATAGGGAGTAGACTGCACTACTCACCCATGTCCTCTGGTCTTTTCTATTGCTCCCCTGCCAAGCGTTAACTGCTGTCTCCGTCTACCACACGTAATCCCTGAGCATAAGGGGTAAACCGACTGTTCGTGTGTTAATCATTCGGTTTTCTTTGTTCATTGTGAGTTTCACGTAACTATGCACGATGATTCGTGATATGGATATATATATATATATATATATATATATATATATATATATATATATATACATCAATTTGATTGGCGGCATCCGGTTTCGCCTTTGTCTGTCACTGTGGCCAGCCACAGGACGCCTGCGCCTACAGAGGGACCATGGGTGGCTTACGCTGCACCACCCACAGCTCCAACCACACACCCCATATCCAGTGTAAACCCGAAGGAATAAGACCGGGAGGCATGTGGATCGGAGCCACGTTTCATCAACGGAGCCGGCCCACACTCCTTCACAGGCAAACACAAACACGCTATACTTGGGAAATCAAGTGCACACAAGGCGGTGGCTGGACCGTAGTGCGCTCCACACAGTGCATGGAACCACTCTTCGAGCCTAGCACGACCACAAGGACCGTGCACCCCGTCCCCTCCAGCAACGACCAACTGTCTTCTGTAGCATTTCCCGCCAAGTTGCAAAGAAAGTCCAAAATTTTGCAAAGAAAGTCCAAAATTTTGCAAAGAAGGTCCAAAACTTTGCAAAGAAAGTCCATAATATTGCAAAACCCTGTGCGATTCGCCAGCCGCTCAGAGCCAATCCTCTGACCTTAAGTGTGTTCTCATTGGCCGGATGCCAAGGTTCGGTGCGTTAGTCTGGGGAGGTGAGCGCGCTGCTCGTTGACTGGGTGAGACTTGTGAATGAACCTTGGAGGAATGCACTTCGACGGTGCAACGGGCTTGTATGCGCCCCCCTCACGTCCGAAACGATGGATCACAATTGGTCTGAGAGCAATGAACAGCTGGAACATAAGCACACGACCGAAACCATGTCTATGATTCTAACGTCGTCGGCATGCCTTCTCACGTTCGACAGAGTATCTCATCAGATATTCGTGACCGAGTTTTGGGCGCTTTCGTCAACGGTGATGACTGGCAGCTTGTGGCAACTGTGAACAACGTCAAATATCAAACAGCCTACTCCTGGATTCGTCGTTCTCTTGATCAGGAACCGAGTACTACGCAGGCGCGCGGTCGTAAACGGATTTTGTCGGAGGAAGACGTAGATGACATCCTGGATTGGATCGCAAGGGACTCAACTCTTACGCTACGGGAAATGCGAGTACGAGTACGAGCAGAAATGGACAAGGACATTTCGAAGTCAACAATTGCACGGCACCTAGATGGTCGATTGATAACTATGAAGAACATCTATCAGGTTCCCGAGGGAATGAACAATGAGCGAAACAAAGGAATACGCAGGGAATTCGTTCAGCAGTTTCTCCAATTTGAGAGCGATGGCAAGTTCTTCATTTGGATTGACGAAGCGAACTTCAACGTTTACTGCAAACGTACTCGTGGTCGGGCGCCCAGAGGAGTGAGGGCCTGTTGCAAAGTTGCCAGCAGCAGAGGGCACAATTTACATTTAATCGGTGCACTCACGATGGAAGGGAAAGTGTCGATGACAACCCGGAGAGGCTCATTCACAGGTTCCCTATCTCTCGAATTGCTGCGAAGCTGTTTAGACAACCTGAAACGGGAGATGGAGCTCCGGCAGGTTGTCGTGATATGTGATAATGCACCATGTCACACACGACTGGAAGAACTGTCGTCAGTAGATGGATTCGATGGAGTAACCATACTGAGATTGAGCCCATACTCTCCGTTCCTCAATCCGATCGAGAATGTTTGGCAGGTGGTGAAGGCCAGAGTGAAGAATGAGATGAGAGTGCACTACGAGGAACTTCTGGCCGGGGATCCCCAGAAACTCATGACGCAGATGGAATGGAGGCTGCAGTTCCTTGAACGCATTGCCGAAGCAGCCACCAAGGATATCAGCGTTGTGGGATGTCGTAATGCTATTCGACATATGCGTGTACATTTCACTAATTGTCTAGAAAAAAATGACATTTTTTGATCACTTTGCTGGCCTATTTTTTACGTATCTGTTTGTATGGCAGGTTACTGGCAGCGCGTAGGAACGTGTGAGTATTCCCAGTGTTTTCAAAATATGTTTGCACGTACGTAAGTTTGTGTGTTCGTACGGGGGTTGAAGCGATATCTGATGTCTAGCGCAATGGAGTGACACGGGACCGACATCCAGTGAGCCATGCCCGAGTGATATGTTCAACTTATGGTCCTTTTCATGCTGGTATTCGCTGCGCCGTACTCTTTCATGATCATCCTGAGATAATGTAGATACAGTTTCGTTGTTCGGAAAACTAGGATGTTTGGAAAGCGCTTTGTAGGACCAAGTGAGCTTGCCGGGTGAAGCAACCGTCAGATGTATCACAGTATGGGATATCAGCGTGGATAGTTGAATAGTAGTGAATACAAAATTACTGCGCACGTCATGTCAGGCTTTTCCAAGAGTGAGAGGAACTGCTAGATGCGAGTTCGCAAACACGTCCATTGCCAGACAAGATGTTGTCATTGAATCTGAACAAATGAATCGCGTGTTTAATAGTAACCGTCTCTGTGCGATGTTTGTCCGCTGTATTTGAGTGTACTGGCGCGTTAACCCGTTACCCGATTGGAAGTTGGTCTGTCAAGTTCGGAACCCACATCAGCCGGTTCGGAAGCTGTACTTTAGATTTAAAAGCAACCATTCCTACAGTAAGCCCAATTTAATTTGCGTGCCAGAAAGGCGCGAATAGCTGTCCAGTAAGACTTGGATACAGTCTGGCTTGTTCGGACGATCCTTGTTTGACCCAATAGCGTGCGTAAGCAAATGCGGGGGTAGTTGGCGTGGGAATGTTTCTACGTTGTTTAACGTACTGACATAACATCAGATACAGACAATTGACATTTTAATGACATTACTACCATCTATCTCAGCTCAGGAAATGTGGCTTGCGAAACCGCAAATTTCGCACAATTAGGGTTTTCAGACTTCAACCATGCGAACATCAGAACGTTATAAACTACCCACTCTGAAGATATCTTCGACGCAATAGGATATGTAAATAATACTAATGCCGTTCACATTCACCATGTGGTGTATTCCCTAGCTCGCACCCTTGATCCTTGGGTTCACTGTGGAAATATTGTTGCATTTACACCAATACCGACAATTGTCTACACTGCACACAGGACGCAGTCTCCATCAGCGATGTGTGCAGTTTTGTCCTTAGTTCGGTTGCCACATTTGACCGTAGTTTAACCCGGCCAGCGGTGAACAAGTTGACTGTGTTATTCTGGACTGGCTCAACGTCGTTCACCTTACTTGGTGTCCGGCCCCAATACGCTGCGTATTTTCAACCCAATTTCATTTACCTAGTCCAACCTTCCCATGAAAATCTCTCTAACCAGCCTTGGTCGTCGCGATTCCCATGAATGCACTTGTCAACGGAAGGGGTGGAGGGACATACATGGGCGTCGCACACAGAAGGTGCCACATTTTTCAAACCGGAATGTCCTAGAGGCCAATATTATGTGAGAGATGTGACTGGCCGGGTTAAGCTGAGTTCAAACGTTGCAACCGCAACATTGATGTTGATGGAATTAACGTTCCAGGTTGCAGTGTTGTGGTTAGTTCCCCCCATTTTGAGCCAGTGGTGACCTATGACAATATGGGCATGTCCATGAGTTGGATAGATGGGATTTGCCTTCAATCTTTTCTTCATCTACGCTACTTCTTACTGCACTCTTACTTAGCTTGAAGACCCACTGAAGGCATTTGGGAAACATGCGCACTTTGATGGCTTGGATAGGCGTTTTTCCTTATTCTTCATATAGTGCTTACTTTCCCTTACACAGGCATGAGGTCTGCAGGACATGGACCTAATGAAGGGGCAAACTGATGATGTCCTGCAACTACCCCACCCAATTTATGTACGCAATTCATCGTACCACTTGTGTGCGGTGCGTCATTAATTCTACTGGATTTATATTTCATCCTAGCTCCCTTTATTTCTAACTGAAGAGTGAACTCAAGGACAGGGCCTGTAGTGGAGTTCAGTCTTGGGAGGGTTTAGCTACCTTAAATTTCCAAATCTCCAACTGACCGATGGTTAATTTTGACAGTCAAGGCCCAAAATTTGCCTGTGTTGCAATATATAAACACATTGAGCACTTGAGGACAATAATCAGACTGGCGTTTGGTCACACGGGCAGTGTGAGTTTTGTCCACACTCGTAGGTGAGTAGCTCGACAATCCACCAAAATACCAGGCATGACCTAGACACCTGTTCCGGTCACACTCACTCGAGAAGATTGCTCGACAGGGAGTGCATTAAGCAATCGACTAAGGCTCATTCCTACATTTACACAATGGCTCGGTAGACCGGAGCAAATTTCATGTCAGATGTGTTTGTGTGGCGAAATGCACAAAAAGA